GACTCCTCTCTGTATTTCAATTTCTGCTGTTTTCATTGTTCCTAACTTGACTTCTGCTGTTTGACCCCAGTATAAATTTTGAATTATTCTGATGTCCTTGCCATCTAATTGAACTTGGTGTAGGATCTCTATTAATTTGGAGTGTTTCACACTATCGAAAGCCTTTTCATAGTCGATGAAACAAGCAAATATGTCTTTTTGTTGTTCACGACATCTCTGGAGAAGGACGTTGATACTAAACAACGCTTCTCTTGTTCCAAAAGCATTTCTGAATCCAAATTGAGTTTCCTCGAGATCAATTTCACATTTTTTATATATCCTGGCGTGTATAATATGTAGAAATATCTTCAGAACATGGAACATGAGACTAATGAGTCTGTAGTCGCTACAACTTTTAGGATGACTTGTTTTAGGGATTGTTACAAAGGTTGATTTTAACCAGTCTTTTGGTATTGTGCCAGTATTGTAGATCCGATTGAATAATCTAGTAATTAGTTTAATATTATCATCTTCGATCAATTTCACAATTTCAGTCGGGATTTCGTCAGGTCCGGGAGTTTTCTTATTCTTTGCGATATGAATGGCATGCTTTACTTCTTCGTCGAGTATTTCAGGACCTTCTATTGGGTCTTTATTTATGGGTGTTGGTCTTTCCTCATCAAAAAGTTTTTCAACGTAATGTTTCCACGTGCTTTTCAGTTCATTTTCATCAATAATAGGACTGTTATTAGCATCCATTAGTATATTAGAGCGATGACACTTGAATGAACCCGTCATTTCTTTGATTTTCTTATGCATCTGGAACATATTGTGTTCTTTTTCGAGGTTTTCAATTTCGTTGCAGTTTCTCTTTATCCATTCCTCCTTGGCCTTTTTTATCTCTACCTTTATAATGTCATTGATACGTTTGTAAGTTTCTGCGTCATTTTTTGTTAGTCTTCGATTCTAGAGAACATGTAATGAGAGTGACCATATAATAAACGCTTTTCTATTGGCAGTTTGTGATCACGCGATCTTATACCGCCATATTTCTTCTAAACGTTTTCGCCAGATCGGAACGAAAGTTAATATCAGTTGTTATATACTGATATTTTTTTAGTTAAATACGAAGTTAATGTTTAGTTTAACTTATTTTACACTGTAATAATTATACAAATTTACTTTATTTTAATAAAAAAAAAAAATAGTATAAATTACAGTAGATTTGTAATTTTGAACATAAAATATATAAAATAGAATATGATATTGAAATGATTGGTGATAATAAATATATTTTAATTATACAGTATTTATCATAAGCCACTTATATTAAATTATTATTTTAGTTTAATAAATAACAAGCAACTCAACAAATGGTTCTGTTTTAAAAAATATAATTAAATATAATGAAGATATGGGATTAATTGTCAATGCTATAACACATGTGATATGGATCTATAAATCAAGCAATGTAGAAAGTCTTTGGCATTGTTAGTGGAAATTTAATAAATGTGTATATTATATTCCACATTCTTATTGTTCAGAAGAAACCATTGAGTTTTTATTATTGATCCAGTGCATTGTTTAAAAATATCCAGTGCATAACATAAAGCAATTTAAATTATTAATAGACTATTTAGGATATTTTTAAAAAATTGGCTCGTCACTCATGGCATCGGGTAAATCTCATCATAAACAAATTTCGAAAATTATCAAATAGTATATTAAATAAAGAAATAATAATAGTAAAAATTAATTTTAAAAATAGAAAAAACGACATTTATTTTCTTCTACTCGAATTTCCATTTAAATAAGTGCTAGATAATTTTATTTCCCCAATTAAGTATAGTATGTGGCTGCGGCTAAATAAGCGTTTGGAAAAGACATGGCGACAGCTCTCGTATGACCACTCTCTGATTATAGGTTCTTTATTCGATTCCTTAAAACTTCACGTTCACTATAACACTATAATGTTAGAAAGCAGGTAGGATCGAGATTCAAGCTTAGCCTTCAATCGTGTTACACTTTGCAATTTCCACCCGCGCAAGCAAATGCAACTGCAACTAGAAGCGAACAGTTTGTTCTACTCGCGCCGATTGCAAATGCGCATCCGTTTAGAAAACGCCTTTGTCCCAAGTCATTCGGTGGAAACTTTGAAAATAGTTATCGTCGTGGCAGAAATAACGTGACTATGATAATACGCGCGCAACCGGAGGCAGTTACCAGGCTGGAAATCGCTAGGTGTGACCATTGTTTTAGGAAAATGTGACAAGTCTGTCACTCCCGCTTACACATTGTATAAGATAGTTTTTCTTATGATAACAGTTGAAGTCTTTTCCAGCACGAAACGTTTTATTTATAGAATGTTTTCGGGTGTCTGGGCGGCCATCCACAGGATCGAGCGTTTGTAATTGAATAATATATGGAATATTCCAACAAATTTAAAAAATTGAGCTAGGTAAAAAAATTATGCAATTTACACGAAAAATTTTTTCTTTGGTAAAGATAAACTTTTGTAAGTTATAAAAAAAAATAATTATTTTATTTTTGAAAATAGCCCAAAAACCTCAGACTGTACAGTTANGACTCTAAAATACCAGGATTCTTACCTAAAATAATCAATCTAATCCTATATATAGCATTTAATGGGCTTGGATGTTCATTAGGACTCCGGCTTCTAATTTGAAAAAAAAAAGTTTCCCAGACAATCTTGATTTAAATTGTGAGTGCAGATGTATTTTATATCAAAAGTCGATTTCATATCTTGAAAAAGATCAATTAGCGATTTCATTGAGATTATCATTCCTTTCTGGAAANCTCTGATTCCACTCGTAGGGAGCTATTTGACTAAGTGATTAAGATTTAAAGAGTAAAGAATATTTTATGTTATTTTCATGTACGTTTCATTACAAAGTTCTATTTAATTATAATTTTCTTTAAAAGTATATTCATACAATTGAAGAATATTTTGTACCAGGTGTGTATATCCACCACACATTTTATTTCACCGAGTAAGTTTTTATAATTTTATTATTAATTTTAGCCCTTATAGCTAGCAAATTAAAATGTAATTTCTTAAAAAGTATATTCATACAATTGAAGACTATTTTGTACCAGGTGTGTATATCCACCACACATTTTATTTCACCGAGTAAGTTTTTATAATTTTATTATTAATTTTAGCCCTTATAGCTAGCGATTTAGAATGTAATTGCGTTATTGAAAATTTATTTTAAAAAAGTTTTGGCTCAAAATCATATAATGAAAAAAGAAAATATTATTAAACGAGAAAGGCCAATGCCCAAGTTAAATATAAAAGCTTTAATAAAAAATTTGTTCGACATTTTCGCGATAAAATGGCTCTGTAAATGCATAAAAATGCAAAAATTGTTTTGTTGGCTCGCCTACTATTTTCAAATGAAATTAGTGTGTGGAATAAGAATGGTTTTGACAATTTAGCTGGCAAAAGACACACGAAAAATCGTCGATTCTTTCGTATTTGAAGCAATTTGGAAATCGAAGCGGAATAGAATTTAACATTAGTAAATAATGTAAAATAAATATTGAAAATTGTAACGAGATAGTTATGGGTAATAGATATATTATATCTAAATAAATAGATATTATATGTTTTTATCAAAGCAAGAATTGGCATTTAGAGGGCATATGGAATATATTGGATTTAATAACAGAGGTAATTATAATGAACTTGTTTATTAAGTACGTCAGATAAATAATCTATTAAAAATACATTTAAAGAAAGAATTAACTGATTGCCCCTGGATGTCGGCTTCTTATAGAGACACAGCTTCCCTATCATCGAATGTCACGGCACGCCGCTGTTAAAAAGTGATTTTAACTTTTTCTAATGCTATTTTCGATGATAAATTTCATATCTGTTTGTAATATTTTAATTTGTTTCTGTAGTCTACTTTCTGTACTGTGAGATATATGCATTCTTTATCTACGTATAAACATTTATACAGAAACCCGATGCTTTACCTATAAACCCCCATTATTTATATACTATTATTATTAAATTAATGTACAGTATGTATTGGCTTAATAAAGAAATTTATTAATCAACTTTCAAATTAATAAAATAATTGTAGTTTGATAAATCTTTTGTAAAAGCAAATTAATAACTATTAAAAATATTACATAGAAAAATTAATTAATAGTCTGTCTTGGCAAGATTATTTGTTACATAATTCGTTGCAATCTACTTTGCAGATAAAATGAGTGTTCTCGACATAGTAAATTACAGTGTATTCATGTATTTTGAGTCTTGCCGCCTTTATTTTCGATCAGTTTACAGGCCTGTAAATTGGCCGAAAACATTTATTGGGATTAAAGTTATTGCTAGAAAAGCACGAATGGTTTTTTTATTGTCAAATCTCGGGTTATTAAAAAGGAATTTTTTGTTTTTTTTAAGTCGGCTACTTTTGGGCTACTTTTTATAAAATGTTTGGTTATCAATACTAAAAACATCTGGCAACGTTGATGTGTGTGGAAGTAAACAAATATGGCGTCTCGAAAAGCACGCTTATTTTGAAAATGAAGTTTTCAGAGATTGTTTTAATCTACGGATGAAGTGGTCGTCATTAACGGAGAAAGGAAAATTTGTTAAATTAAGATACTACATTCCTAGTCTATTATAGACCTAGGAATATTAGTCGACATGGTACGATATTTAATATACTGTATTTGTCATATTTAGGAATCAAATACAAGTTTAGTAGTTTTATTTTTTCCCAGGAGTAAACGATATAAACAAAATTTATTTTAATGAATGAATCCAGAGATTGCTTTATTAGATTCTAGTAATCTAATAAACTAATTCCCACAATTACTCTAAATAACCTTATACCTTCATTCCAGGTATAAAGTTATTTATAATCTTATATTTATAACCGTCAAAATATTTTTTCGTTATACTGTATTAATATGTGTATATGTAACTTATAATTAGGTGATTTGAAAAATTGAATGAGATGACTTTTCTGGTTGGATGCTCGTTGCTGTAAATAAAGCAACAAGCATCCAATGTATAACAATTCCCAGTGATTTTAATAAAAACTTTTATAAAGTTGAAAATTAGTTTTATTAAAAATGTGCAAAACAAAATGTTTTCAATATAACGTGTTGCAATGTAATACGTAATACTGGTAGCGAGTTTGTGCAATGGTATTTGACAGATGTAAGTTATGTAACAAAACAAAACTGTTGAGTGAGAAATATAATTATCAAATTGAACATCATACAAACCTTGGAAATCTTTGATTAGGATTGCCAACTCTCCTGAATTAGCTGGAAGATGCCCAGTGTTTGGCAAAAATTTTTAAATTCTTGGACTCTTACATTGAAACTATGAAGATTTACTCTACATGATAAACTATTGGGTTATCAGACTAAAGAATAGGTGGCAACATTTTAATATTGCTTGAATTAAAAAACATTAAATCATCTAGAATTTTTTACTCCAGCAATGGAAATCTTCTAGAATCAACTTTTTGAGGTTGCCAACTTATCTTGCATCTGGAGGAATTGGAAAATTGTTTTGTATAAATCTATGCAGAGGGCTACTAAGGAATGAAAATGCTTATATCAAACTGTCAAGTTTAATAACAAAAATACTCCAAATGCTAATTTCAGATATATGTTTAGATTATAATTCATGAATCACTTTAGACTTTTGATATCAGCAAAATGAAATCATGTCTTCTCAGTTTTACATTACAGTTTAAGCATAATTATGCTTAAAACATTAAAATTCAGAGTAAAATTAGAAAATAAGTTTATAGAAGAAAAATTGTTATAGTAATTGTTATAAAAATTTGCTGGTTTATAGGTTTAGTGTTTTTAATTGAAAATAAGTTTATTTTATTTTTGTATGTTGCTATAATTTGGTGCAACACTTACTATGAAATTATAGTTTTAGCAGTGTTCTTAAGTTTTTAAAGAATAAACTCAAAAGTATTAGTTTCAACAGGAGAATGTATAAAGCTAGAACAGATTATAGTCTATTGCTTAGAACTGAACGTTATTTTGAAGTACAGTAGAGCATCGATTATCCGAATCAATTGGGGACTGGGGTTGTTCGGAAAGTTGATTTTTCGGATAACTGATTATGTATGAAAAAATATATTAACCTATCCTATGTTGAAATTAGTTCAAATCCTGGTATGTCCTTAAGTACCCTCTCATGGTTGCACCAGGTTGCCAGCTAAAACACATATATCAACAAATATAATATTGGAGTTGCCCAAGACATAGCCAAAGATTGCAGCATCACAGCACTGGTGGAAATTTAAATTTGCCAACTGGAAAGCTTTCGATTAATTGATGTTTTGGATAATTGATGCTCTACTGTAGTTGCATTTTAGTGAGAAACTCCAGTTGCACATAGTAGATTTCTCAGCAGCTTCAGTGTGCCTTCAAATCCAGAATATTGATTGTATAGATTGTACTGTACATGCTACAGAAATATCTAGAAGTATCCCAGATAATTCCAATACTCGGCCTCAATTTCTGTACTATAATAGTGCATTATCAGTGGCAAAACAATATGGTTCAGAAATTTATTTTTTTCAATTCTATAATATAAAAGTCCAAGAGTTTTTCTGCTTAAAACAGTTCTTTTGATATNAAAGAATTAAAAATAAATTAAATAATTATGGTATTATTTTGGAACCCAAACATCACAACAGCTTACATAAGAAAATAAACGAATGTAACAGCGAGACTAATATATGGGACCAAAGAAATGTCATCTATAAATTAGAATGTGACTGTACCACACCCAAATTTTACATCAGGAAACTAGTAGGGAATTAAAGGTTCGTTTTAAGTTTATTGGATTAGAAGAAAATTCAGAAAGTTCTTGGTATAATTTCAGATTATTTCTTACAGTTTTTATTACTTAAAAGTAAAGAAATCAAATAATTTAACTAAGATAAAATAAAGAAAACAAGATTAAGATTAATGTTAATATATGCTTTAATAATTTTAATTTCAAATTAATCTGTGCATTGAGTAAGTTTTAAAAATTCATCCTTCTTTAGATCATGATCAGATTTAAATATCCCCCTTCTGACTCATAAAAAAATAATATAGTTAGCATTGTCTTTATAATTTAATTATTTTTCTACTCATATAAATCTATCTATAGGACAAGTTTCATTTAATATTAAAAAAATTAATGAAACTCCAAAACAGGATATACCCATTAATGTTACGTGACAGTTTGTGTCCTGGATTGGTCTAGAATTAAATTTCCTTTCATTTACATTAAATAAAAAATGTTAGAAATAGAATGGAAATTATACATAATGATTATCTTTAGGTTGAAACAAACATAGTCATTAGTTTTTTATTTTTAACCAATGATGCAAGTTAGTGACATTTTATTAGATTTATATATACAGTAAAAATAACATAGTAAAATAACAGTAAAAATAACATAGTAAATACAGTATTTGGAAATTTGATATCTGAGATTACCTAATAACAATGTTAAGAGCAGTATAATGTCTCAAAAATATTGATTAAAATCAAATATTTGATTTCAGTAAAGCTAGATTTTCTCATAAAACTAGATTTTAAAATTTCTTCAATTCTTATTCTTTAATTTTTTTTTTAATTAAAAGNAACTCCAAAACAGGATATACCCATTAATGTTACGTGACAGTTTGTGTCCTGGATTGGTCTAGAATTAAATTTCCTTTCATTTACATTAAATAAAAAATGTTAGAAATAGAATGGAAATTATACATAATGATTATCTTTAGGTTGAAACAAACATAGTCATTAGTTTTTTATTTTTAACCAATGATGCAAGTTAGTGACATTTTATTAGATTTATATATACAGTAAAAATAACATAGTAAAATAACAGTAAAAATAACATAGTAAATACAGTATTTGGAAATTTGATATCTGAGATTACCTAATAACAATGTTAAGAGCAGTATAATGTCTCAAAAATATTGATTAAAATCAAATATTTGATTTCAGTAAAGCTAGATTTTCTCATAAAACTAGATTTTAAAATTTCTTCAATTCTTATTCTTTAATTTTTTTTTTAATTAAAAGTTAAAAATTATTATAGCACTTTATATAATTTTCTGTTTTATTTTCAGTTGCTCTGGGGTTCCTTTTTTTCTAATTCATAAATATTAGACAACAAAGAGTAAAAAATGTTTTCAGTAATAAATTAATGTAAAGAATTTGAGACTTTTATACAATTTTTGAGAATTAAGAAAATCAACTCTTAAAATGGATTGATTTTCTTAATTACAGATTTATTTTATATTTGTAATTAAGTACAAAAGAAATGTTTCCTTTACTGGATCATTTTATAAATAGGTTTCTCTCATTTGTTTTTCTAAGATTAGTGAAGGCAATAGTAAGATTAATAAGACCAGTGAGCTATGATGAAAGTACAGTAGAGCATCGATTATCCGACCCCCGATCAACCGTCACATCAGTTAACCGACCGCGTTCTAGTCGGCAAATTCAAATGTCCACTAGTGATGTGGCGCTACAATATTTGNTATGCTTATAAAGAGAGTGTCCAAAAGTTTGATATAATCTTTTATAATTTGATAACAAATTACATTAAAAAAATTAAATTAGCCATTTGAAAGTATGCTCTAAGCTATTTTACTACATAGTTGCCATTCGTTTCTAAACACTTTTCTGGAAGACAAGGACAAAGGCAAAATTTCTTTTCAAAAAATTTCTCCCCTCAATGATTTAAACAAGTCCATGACTGTATCTTTAACTTCATCATTATCTGAGAAGTAGATATTTCTTAAGAGGTATAAAAAAGATGAAAATCAGAGGATGCTGAATCCAGACTGCACAGGATGGAATGCCTGTTGCACAATAATGTATGTCTGACTTCAGACTAGCTAAAAAAGTATGGAGGGAAGTAATGGATCATAATCTGGACTCATCATCCTCTGATTATTATCTTTTTGTACTTTTTAACAAATATTTTTTTACAATTATTTTTTTTTATATTTAAATTTGACAATTACATGTTAATTTTCAATGTTTGAATACCTCATCTTTGTCGATTTATTTTTAATCTATATGGAAGTTCAACACTTGCAGTCAAACATTATAATTTTGAAATGCAAAATGTTACAGAGGGCAGCTTTCATTCTTGTTTTTAAATTGTAATCAGTTTTTATTCTGAGGAAAGGCATTTAAAATAATCAAAAACATTAGAAAAACTAAAATTTACACCGCATTTAAACATGAGTGGTTGGTTTTGTAGAGACAATGGATAAAAATTGGAAGAAATACCTAAGTTAGTTGTACATTTTTGTTTTCTTTTATTAAAACAACAAAGTTCAATGCACTGTCAAAATGAAAATATCTCAAATGTCCATTTTTTTTCTCATATGGTATAGGTTATGTTTAATTGCATAAAATTCAGGACATATACATTCTGTGTGTGCTGAATTAAAGGCCACAACTGAATTATTTCAAATTTTCCATGTCAATTATCTGATAACAGGAACATGTCACTTATTTTAAATTGAGTTTGGAACTATTAAAACTGTTAAATAGTTTTGATATCTATAATCCATAAATGTAGTCCAGTTTTATGACTACATTTATGGATTACAACTACAACATTTGAAATAATTACTGTTTTCATGGTTAATCTGGTTCAGTTGCTACATAAAGGTGGGTTATTATGTCAGATAAAAGAAGTGCACTAGAGTTATCTAAACATGTTAAGAAGGAATGGCAATCTGTCTCCCTAGAAACAAAAATGGAAGTTATTCGACAAATGGAAAATGGACAAACATACCCTAATGTTTGTAGATCTTTGAACTTACCTCCATCGACCATTATGAAAAATGCAGATAAAATTAAACACACTGCTAAACAGTCTACGGCAGTAAATGTAAAACATGTGAGTTATAGTGGAGGTAAAACTTTTGAAAAAATGGAAAAATTGTTATTGTTATTGGTGGATGATGCAAATAAAAAAAAACATTTCCTTGACTCAAGCTGCTATAACTGAAAAAGCAAAATCAATTTTTGATAATATTAAGGAGACAGAGGCAAAGAAACTTTTTTGGGAAGCAAGGGTTGGTTTATGAGATTTAAATCCTGAAGTAACTGTCATAGTGTAAAATTATGTGGTGAAGCAGCAAGTGCAGATATTGCAGCAGCGGCTGCTTTTCCTAAGGAATTTCTGGGTTATGTAGAACAAGGCAACTGTTCTGCAGGCCTAATCTTTAACGTTGATGTGACTGAGCTTTATTGAAAAAGTTACCAGTACAAACTTTTATTTCTTGTGAAGAATGTTTTGCTCCAGGTTTTAAAGTTGCAAAAGATAGATTAACTTTTTGTTGGGAGTCAATGTTTCAGGAACTTTTAAACTAAAACTGATGTTAGTGTATCATTCACAGACACCATATTCTTTAAAAAGTCTAAATAAAGACATGTTACCAGTTTATTGGAAATGGAACAAGAAAGCTTGGGTCACACAAGATGTTTTCACAGATTGATACACAAGTTATTTTTACCTTACTGTGCTTCACTTTTGTGAAGAAAATAAATTACCACCCAAGGCACTTCTTTTCTTGGACAATGCTCCAGGACATTTTCAAAACCTTGATGAAATAAGAACACCATTGGAAATCAAGGTTGTTTACATACTTCACAATACAACATTTCTTTTGCAACCAATGGATCAGATTGATAGTATTGTGAGGCTCTGGACAGGTCCGAACCCTCACTAAAATTTGCGTTAAAATAATTGTTTTAGAGAAAAAAATATAGTAGTTAGAAATAGCTTTTTATTTTATGAAAACGCGACGCTAGACAATAGAAGACTTTTAAACAATAGAAGAATGTAAGTCCGTCGACCATTTCCGGTTGGAGATCGAATTAAACTTCGATTTTGACCTTTCCCACGCCCCTGAAAGGTTTCGAATTGTCATCAGGTGACGATGGGAGACCAANTCCCAATTAGTGGTACGCGTACCCCCGGGGTACGCATACCACTAATACCACTACCCCTTCACGCGAAAGTGCGTGAAGGGGTACGAGTGGCAATCTAAAATCAGTCGATTTAAAATTTAAATGCATGAGATGAAGCAATCAAAAGAATAATGGGTAGACCCTAAAAAATTCGGAAATTTACAACATGATGTCGAATGCACAAATTCGTTTATTTATAACTAAAAATATTCTCGAAATTTCATAAAAAATGCATTTGTGACAATACCTAAATGAAATTCTTACGCAAGAAAAAAAATTGTACAATTAACACAATTTGTGTTAAATGTACAATTATCATTATCATCATTTCAACAAAGCGGCAATAAAATATTTACTACCATTTTGCACAACATACCTCTGCGAGGGCGAATTTTCGGCCGTGACAAACATGAAAACTCAGTATCATCACCGACTTCAACTCGAAGATGACTCGAGACTAAAGCTGACCAAAAAGCAACCAGATTTTACAAAGTTGTGCAAAGAAAATCGTGCACATTTGTCGCATTAAAATTAATTAAATAACCTTATGTTATTTTCATTATTATTAGAATTGTATTTTAAAAGTAATAAATGTAAAAAAACTTATTCTATTCATCACTAGCTGTCTACCCATAGCTTCGCCCACATTATATCGAATTTTCTCGTAAGAGTAAGATATTTTCTAGCAGTAAAATGTAGCCCATGTCCATCTCCAACATGTAAGCTATTTCTGTGCTAAATTTTATTAAAACCTGTTCAGTGATTTAGACGTGAAAAGGTAACAGACATACAGGCAGAATTACCTTCGAATTCGTAATATTAGTAAGGATTAATATGAATTTCTGCCATAAGGGGTACACGAGTTTGAGCTCTTTCTTAAAGTGGTACACAGGAATAACTAATTGGGAACCACTGGTCTAGATAGATAACTTGAATGAGTATTAAAGAAATAATGTAGTCCATAATCCTAATCCTTCATCTATAATCATTATCTTGTAGTAAATACGAAGACAGAAAATGCAAAATTGAGTCAAATGTTTTGTTGATATTTATATCTCGATCAGAAATAAAAAGAACAAGAATAGAAACATATGCCCAATTCTGTTTTTATACGTAGATACATTCTTGAAAAATACATTTAAACAAAAACTGTGTAAAAATGATACTGTTTACATGAAAAAATGAAGATTGATCACAGACCTAAAACTGAAACAAAATATTTCAATTTTAGTTAGTAAATCAGAGAAGGAAAATTGTAACTTATTGATATGTAATAAATTATATTATTTGCACAAATTTTATTTTAATTTTAGTTTTTATTAAATTTTACCAACTAAACACTAAAAATGCTAAAGCTTTTAACTCCAAATGGCATACAAAAACTATTCTGTATTGAAAGAAATTGGAAGAAAGACAATCATACAAACAAATTGTCAAACTTTGAATTAACTTTTTTGACTGATTCAATTGTAGGATAAAGTCAGAATGAAAGATTGATTATTAATATACACATTCAAATAAATCATAAAAAAACAGCCAAATCTTAAAATTTATTTGATTATGTGAAACAGCCTTAAATGCAAATTCAAATTCTAAAAATTAAAAAAATAATAATAAAAGACAACTTTTTAGATGGGAAATATGAATATTTTTCTTAAATTAANTACATATCACATATTATCGTTCATCGAGTTCTTTTAAATTTCTTCCCCCTCGGCCCCCACAGTATTATTGTTACCAAATATATCCAAATCAGATCAATGTGCTGTTATCCTGTTTTTGTCGTGTTTTATATGGTCAATTGGATGTGGAATATGGTCAAATATGTATTTGTTGTGGGATTGGAAGATGTTACAGAAATTATAGAAGCCCATGATCAGCCACTCTCAAATGAAGACTTAGAAGAATTATACAAAGATTGTGAACAGTTAGAGAAGGAAGAAAACGAAGAAGAAACTCCAAGAGTTATGAAAATGGTCAAGCTAAAGCATATCCTTTCAACTATGGAAAGTTTGACAGATGAACTTTGTGAGTTAGACAACGCTTGGGAGCGAAGTGCAAATGTAAAAAGGGGCACCATACATCCATTTGACCATATTCAATAGTGTTTCCTTACAGCATTAGAAAATTGAAATTCCTTTTTGTTCTTAGTTGTTGTGCTTGATAGTGGCATCAATGTTTAATTACATCTTAATGGTACCATTATAAGCTAACAACTACCTTAATTGGCTATTTTTACAGCCTTATTTTGTAGCATAAGCTTATAATGAGAGACTTTGCTTGTATTTATTATGTTATGAATGTTTTAAGATTATGACAAAGCTTTTATGATGGAAAATACTGATGCACAAACTCATTAATGCTTTAATAGAGTTTAAACTATGTAACCTGTTCTAAATATTAGTACAGTATTAATACTTTTGGGTAAGTAGCCTTAGCTTTAGATATTCTAAAAACTGAAAATTCTAAATGGAACATTATTACGAAGGAACTGTATAACAACCTGTAACTTATTTGATGAGTTTATAAATTAAAAATTTTTAAGTTACATATATGAAAATTAGAAGAATATTCTACAGATGAATACATAAGATTTTTATTGTATCTTTAATAGAAACCTTTTTAGAGTGCTAAAATTAACAAATATATTTGATAGTTTTGATATAATTGTAAGAATGAATATATTTTTTTATAACTTTAATGCTTTGTAACATATTTTAATAAATTATATTTTTACTAGANTGAATATTTTTCTTAAATTAAAATCAAATGGAGATTTTTTAAAAGGACAAATGTATTGGAATACATTAGATTAAAACAGATTGGGTAAAGAAAGAACTGAATTTTTCCTTAGACAGTGTTAAATCAAAACAGTGTAAAAAAATCTGTGAGAAATAGAATTGAGTATAATTAAGATTTCTGGAGTTACAGGTCAGGAAAGGAAGTTGTAATGCATCCATAAAGGTTACTATGAAACATGAAAGTGAAAAGCTGCTTTGTTTATATTTTAACTTTTTTTTTATATTTCTTTCAATTATCAGTGATTGTATATTTGTAAGTTTTATAGTGTGTGTCATTTAAATTTATGAAAGGCTATTTAAATTTGTTGTTTCATCAAAATCTCTTGGAATTTGATAACAATCACTAAAAATGATCGAAAACATTTGTTTTCCATTAAATAATTTACTGGTTAAAATTAGGTTAGTTATTTTTTGTTTTTACATAATATAAGATAAAAATAAAATGAGTAAAAGAAATACAAAAAAAATCATAAATCATTTGTTTTAAATATTTTTCTTTGCATTCAATACATAAATCATCTAATAATGTATTTTTTCATATTTTAATAAATTATATTTTTACTAGAAGGGTTCAAGGGCAATCTAAGGAAATCATAAATTGTACAGAAACTATACAAAGAATGCTTGAGGTAGGTAATGCATAGCTTAACAATAAAAGCTTAATTGTTTGAACAATTTTCTATTAATGCTTTAACTTTCCCGTGTTATTTTTTTATAATTGCATATTTTTGCATTTAATATATAGACACTCCTTGACTTTTGAACATAACACAATGCTAAGATTGTGTACAAAAGTCTAGTACATACATTATAAAGGGTCTTGTTGTTTTCAAAGAACTAAAAAGAAAAATTATAAAATCTCTTATTGAGATAAGGAAGTTTTAGTTCTTTGAAAACAGTAAATTAAATAGAAAACAAACAATAAGAATTAATTTTCATAAATAATTTTGATGTAACCAAAACTGGCAGATTTGGTGAAGAAAATAAATTACCACCCAAGGCACTTCTTTTCTTGGACAATGCTCCAGAACATTTTCAAAACCTTGATGAAATAAGAACACCATTGGATATCAAGGTTGTTTANTAAAATGAAGCAAACAACAGAATTTTCAAAAAAATAAAAAGATTCTAAATAACAATCTTAAACAAAAAGAAATAAGGAACATATTTTAATGGTATGACATTATAAAATAAAGAGATTAAATATAAAATGATTATGTACTTTAGCAGGTCAACCTGGGTATCTCATTTAAGAACATTATAACATTCTTATTTATAAAGCAAGATTTACTGCTGAGATAAACTTTAAACTTGAAAACATTTAAGTCTACTTATTTTATGTTAACTTTAAAGTTGGAGATAAGTGAATGCAAAAATAGTTACTGTATTTTTATAAAAAATCTGGTTAGAGTAAAATATGTATAGTATCTAGTCAAATTTTTGAGGGTCAGTATCAAACATTAGTTTTTGATATATTTTGATTTTTGTGAGAATTAATTATAAATATAGATATATATAATATTTAAATTATTAAATGATAGATAATTTTTATATTTTACCAGTCCACATAGTTACACATAGTTAAAATATTATATAATGTGAACACTTTTTGCTTCATTATCACATTATAAAAGCAGTAATAATAATGCTTGAATTCAATTTAACAGTGTTTTGCAGTCTACATTTAATATTAAGAAATAATTAAATACTATTTACTTATCATGTAAAGATTTTAAAACAAAATCCATATTTGTTTTGACTTAAAAAAAAACATTAACCGGATAATTGTGCTGTATTATAATAATGAATTCTTCTGTTGTTGTACTAGTTCTATATTTGAATCTAAAGCAGGTCTTTGTGATTTTTTTTTCATAGATAATTTAAGTCTTTATTCTTCCTACATGCTGATTTAATTTTTTGAAAATTAGTCTTGACCTTGACTTATGAGCAAAAATTGAGATTATAGTTATATACTTCAATAAGAATCAAAAATATTGTGGAAAAATGCAATTTAAAAAAACAAAAAATGATTATATTATACAATAAATTGAAATATTACATCGATCTATAATTAGTATAGGCCATTTACAAAAGTTGTATCTTAAATTGATTCAAAAATATCTGTCATACTTGTAATTATTTTCATAATCATCTCTTAAAAAAAAATTCTAAAATTATATAATGCCTGTTATATAAATCCTACTTAAATTTTATTACTACAGATTTAACATATGATACGAATAAATTTTACAAACTCAATCAACAGAAATTTATTTCAAATTTTAATTATTCAGCCGATTATCATAAAAGAAAAATAAAATTTGTAATTTTTTTTCAATGAATTGAAAAGTTAACAATCAAAATATTTTAAAATTAAAATCTTAGTTGTTATTTTTGTTTAATTCTAATGAATAGTCTTGGAAAGTAAAAAGTCTAAAAGTTCTAAAAATTTTGAGTTTTTTATTCACTTTTATAACCACTTAAAAGGAGTTTTTTGGACAAATAAACTGAAATGTTATGTCCTTTGAATCCAACACTCACACGAGTTCAAGAATTACTGAGAAGTCAATTAATTCTCAGATACAGTAGATCACCCTATAAAACCGTTTCCTATAGTTATGATTCCTATAAAAATTGTGGCAGTATCCGTAAACAACGGTAAAAATAACTCCTATAATACGTAAAACGTCATCGGGCAGCCGAACTACTTTCCCGCCGTCCGTAGCGCCACGCTACGGACGTTTAGGCGGATAAATTGAGTTTAGTATCGTCTGTTNGGATCAGATTGATAGTATTGTGAGGCTCTGGACAGGTCCGAACCCTCATTAAAATTTGCGTTAAAATAATTGTTTTAGAGAAAAAAATATAGTAGTTAGAAATACTATAATAACTTGAGATTTTTGTTTTCCTAGCCAATAATGTACAAAAGTTAATTTAACATGCAAAAAACAATTTAGGATATTAAATTATTAAGAACAAAAGAGTGAGCTGTTGGAATGTCAAGGACTGTCTGTACATTAAAACAGGACAAAAACAGGATAACAGCACATTGATCTGATTTGGATATATTTGGTAACAACAATACTATCAATATGTGTACTGCATGTTCCATATATAATTGAGAACATGCAGTATACATATTGTAATTGTATATGTACAATGGCTATTTTTAAATAAGGTCTGTTTGTGAATGAGAGTGAGAATGACATGCAATTGCGCCAGTGTGTAGGTGCGTCTGCTCCGAGCATGTTTTGCTTGCGTTTAGACACGATTTGCAGCCATATCGTCTGTCTGTGTGCTGAGCTGTAAAAGTTTATAATGTTTAAGAAAATTTTGTCACCCATTGACTGCGAGTTACGACTATTATTTGATTCTTGAATGCCAGAAACTTGGCAGCGGTGGAAATTCACCATCAGATTTGTGAAGTTTATGATGATAATGCTATGAGTGACAGTAAAGTTCAAAAGTGAGTGAGAATGTTCAATGATGGGCAGGTTAATGTGCATGATGAGCCACGCCCTGTCTGACCTTCTCTGATTTCTGAAGATTTGGTTTGTGATGTGGATAACAAAATTTGAGAGGACCAATGATTCATGATTTCAATATTACCAATTGAATTTCCACAGATTTCAAGATCAATTTTGTATACCATTGTTTCAGAGAAACTGAATTATCGAAAATTGTGTTCTCAATAGGTTCCAGGGCTGCTTTCTGACGATCACAAAACAAAAAGATTGGGTAGTGCTTTATCATTTTTGACTCTATATGATCAGGAGATGAATTGTTGGACCACATCGTTACAGGAGATGAGACTTCGGTGTCTCACATGACTCCTGAGTCCGAGCAGCAGTCAATGGAATGGGACACATCTTTGCCAACCAAAGTGAAAGCCAAACAGTCCATTTCAGCATGGAAAATTATGGCAACTGTCTTTTGGGTCAGGAAAGGGATTTTGTTAGTGGATTTTATGCCGAGAGGCACAACAATCAATTCTGATGCATATTGTGCGACCTTGAGAAAATTTTGGCATGCCATACAAAACGTGGTGTGGTCTACTGTCTTCCTGTGTGATGTTGCTCCATGACAATGCAAGGCCACATGTTTCTGCACAAACACAAGTCTAATTAGTTCTTTTGGATGGGAACAACTGGATTATCCACCTTACAGTCCAGACCGTGCACCCAGTGATTTTCACTTGTTTCGATACTTAAAGGAGTTTTTTGGTGGCCAACAGTTTAACGACGACAAAGAAGAGAAAATTTCAGTCATGGTTTTTTCATAGACGGCAGATTTCTTTGAAGTCAGAATTCAAAAAATTGTTGAGCGGTATGACAAATGTTTGAACAAAAATGGAAATTATGTAGAAAAGTAGATAAAAATATGTAGAATATGGGAAAAATATATATTTTAATGATATTTACAGTATTTTTCTTCTTATTAAAAAATGGACCTTACCTAAAAAATAGCCTTTGTACTATACAACAAATACCTTACTAATTGCAGCAGCTTTGTCTGGACATCTATATGTCATGTGTATGATTGCAGGCAGTGCTATCAAATGAAAAATTTTTGATCATTTTTTATAGTTTAGAAATTGTAAAATCTATTTGTTTTGATAATCATATTCTATATCTAAAGCACTTAAATCATGTTTTGATTTTAAAAAATCTATAAATTAAAACTTTAGTAAGAAATACTTGATTAAACTATTCATAAATAGATATGTAGATTATTTCAAGACAAGTTGACAGTCTTATTTTTTTTTCACATGTATTAACACATCACATATAGACTATACCTATTTTTTTTTAATGTGAAGAGTGCTTCTATATTTTGGTGAAGAGTGCTTTTATATTTTAAAAAATGGGCTTCAATTAATATGTTTTAATATGAAGTTATAAAGTACAGTACAATTGTTTTGTTTAATTACATAATATAAAATAACAATACAGAAACTACTAAAATCCAGCAAAAACTCACTTTACTAAAATAAAATTAATGTTTTTGACATTTTTCAGTATATAGAAATCTCTGAAATAGCTTTTTAATTCAACACATTTTTTTACCACTTAAATACAATGACTTCTACTGTGATACATTATGTTTCATTTAATCAGATAATGTTCTTTAATTTTCAAATTTTATTCTATCTTCCATTTTGCATTTGGTTCTTTTAAACCTGAATATGATGTTTTAAAAATGTCAAAAATGTTTGTTTTATTTTACTAAACAGAGTTTTTGCTGGATTTTGGTGGTTTGTGTTGTTATTTTGTATTCTTCAAAATCCAGTTCTACAATTAACTTAGACCTGGATATAAAAGGGTTATTTTGTAGAATACAAAATAACCCTTTAATATCCAGGTCTAAGTTTATATAATAAATATTATATCCAGGTCTAAGTTATAATAAATATTTGTTTTAGGAAATATAACAATAACTAAAAAATAGCATTTAATGCTACTAATTATTTATTTTTTCTTTATAAATATATACATTTATATTGTAGCATTTAGCCTATAGTATTTTCCAAATTTCTTGTATGTCTTTGCCTTTTCCTGTTTCATGTTTTGGGTTTAGTGTCCATTGTTAAATGGAGGCTTTTAATAAGCAAGTTTTTACCTTTCATTTTCAAATTATCATCATTAGCAGTTTTCTATACCTTGTTCTTGACAAGAAAATAGTGGAGACAGACACTTTCTTTCCATTACCAGACAATATTGTCTGGTAATGGAAAGAAAGTCTCTGACAAAATGAGGAATTCTTGTCCCATTTACAATTTATGTTGACTCCACTTAGCCCATGGCATTTGTTACAGCTGATAGAATGGTCCAGTTCATTTTACTGTAATATTGTGCCAGTCATCAGACTTCTAGCCTGAGTTATATAGAATTTTTTCTACTGAGCAACTGCTGGTACTATGTACCAGCTATTGATACTTTTTATCCTTTGTCAGTATTGTGTTCCAGCTGAAAAATAGCCCTCGCTATAGATCTGAAGATGGAATATTGAAGTTTCAAAATCGTTATCACAGTTGAAATATTACTTTTCTGGCTGTTATATATAACAGAAGGAAAGTATGGCAATCAGTCAAAAAATGACCCCCCCCAAGATTTTTACATTTTTGGACTTAGGAAACCATGAAATGTCAAGAAATGCAAAAAAATTTGGGGTTAATTTCTGTGTATGTGGATGTTAGTGTGTAGGTGTGTATGTGTGTGTGGCATGATTTTGTTCATCCTGTTTGAAGCTTAATAGCTCCTGTGCTTTTTGTTGAAAATTTCTGAAATTTTTCAGGGAGGCATGCTTATTAGGAGAATTGATGCTATTAAATTTTGGTGGTTTGGTCAATGGGGTGGGGAGATAATGGGAGTTGTGTGTATCTCCAGTAGGATTTGACTTAATGATGATTTTCTTCATTATTAGCATTTACAATTTTTTTTTATAAAACATCCCTACCTTCAAAATTAAAGTTTTTGCCCTTTTATAATAGTTAAAAATATGAAGAGTTTTTAAATAAAATATGATAACAGATGGTGCCACCAAAATTTTAAATGTTGCCAGGAAAGTTGAGCAACTTGTTGCTGGTTTATTTTTAATTCAGGCATCTAGAAAGTGTAGAAATGTTTTATTTCTATATAGTTACTATAATGTTACAGCTATTAAAATCAGTAATTAAATGTATTATTACTATATTAAGTTAATTTTTTGTATTATCATATTATTCAAACTTTTTCATTACTGATACTAATTATGATGCTTTTTTGGAAGTATGCCTTGAAATTTCTACAACCTAATTCTCTGTCCAGATGACTTTTTGTAATCTTACTGACAAAGATGTTCACCATATTCAATTGGAGCACATTTAAGATATGGCTCCTCTAGCTAATGTGATCATGGCATTAGGTAAGTTTAAAATATTTCATAATGGAATTTCAATATAAAGATTATATTAAAATTATAAAAAAATTTTTTATTTTATAAAATTAATTTCATAATATTTTTCTATTTTATTATTTTCTATTTTCATATGTATTTCTCAAGCTTTTTGTTTGTTTTTCTTTCTTTTCTTTTGTGAACACTAAGATTGGCCTTACTTTACCGCTAGACTTATTACACAACCACAGGACATCAAATTAGACTTAGAAAACACTGTTTTATTTTCAGAATGCATTTTGACTTGGAATCCCTCATCAGCTTTTTTGCTACAAAATTAAAAGGAGGTTAATAATTTTAAAGTACCATAATTGACACAAATGAAAAAAGACAGTAGACTTACATTTAATGTGTCAATTCGATATTTAGACATTAAAAGATTAAGCACGCCATAAAACAAAAAAATTATACATAAAAAAGGGTAGTACTGATACAATAAACAGAATAAAAAACTAAGGTACTGGTAAAACAGTAAAGTAGTAAAATTATACATTGTTAAAACAAAATAATAAGCAGATTCACTGTAAAACGAATAAAGTAATAAGCTGATTTGAAGTACCTTCCAAAATAGCTGTCACCCTCTCCTCTATCCATTTTGACACTTCTCCTCTCCCCTAAGCCCCTTCTGGTCAAGTATGCATACCATGATTCATGTAATTTTTGGCCGAAATTATTATTCATGATTTTCTCTTTGTTTTTTATTATCTCTAAGTGTTTGTACCATTCTTCTTTTATAAGTATTTGGTTCTTTTTTAACTATTTTGACAGTATCCTTTACAATTTGACGGCCTTCTTTATTATACTGGATAGCTACAGCCGAGTTATTATTACTGTACTCTATGGCAGAGATATATTCTTTAAAACAAACCTTTAATTCCCTACTAGTTTCCCTGATGTAAAATTTGGATGTGGTACAGTCACATTCTAATTTATAGATGACATTTCTTTGGTCCCATATGTTAGTCTCGCTGTTATGTTTGTTTATTTTCTTATGTAAATTGTTGTGATGTTTGGGTACCAAAATAATACCATAATTATTTAATTTATTTTAAATTTTTTCAAAAATATTCATTACGTAAGGTATTTTTAAAAATTTATAAGCTGTGTTGTCAATTGGTTGTTTGTGTGTATTAAAAATAAAAGAATTAAAAATAAATTAAATAATTATGGTATTATTTTGGAACCCAAACATCACAACAGCTTACATAAGAAAATAAACGAATGTAACAGCGAGACTAATATATGGGACCAAAGAAATGTCATCTATAAATTAGAATGTGACTGTACCACACCCAAATTTTACATCAGGAAACTAGTAGGGAATTAAAGGTTCGTTTTAAGTTTATTGGATTAGAAGAAAATTCAGAAAGTTCTTGGCATAATTTCAGATTATTTCTTACAGTTTTTATTACTTAAAAGTAAAGAAATCAAATAATTTAACTAAGATAAAATAAAGAAAACAAGATTAAGATTAATGTTAATATATGCTTTAATAATTTTAATTTCAAATTAATCTGTGCATTGAGTAAGTTTTAAAAATTCATCCTTCTTTAGATCATGATCAGATTTAAATATCCCCCTTCTGACTCATAAAAAAATAATATAGTTAGCATTGTCTTTATAATTTAATTATTTTTCTACTCATATAAATCTATCTATAGGACAAGTTTCATTTAATATTAAAAAAATTAATGAAACTCCAAAACAGGATATACCCATTAATGTTACGTGACAGTTTGTGTCCTGGATTGGTCTAGAATTAAATTTCCTTTCATTTACATTAAATAAAAAATGTTAGAAATAGAATGGAAATTATACATAATGATTATCTTTAGGTTGAAACAAACATAGTCATTAGTTTTTTATTTTTAACCAATGATGCAAGTTAGTGACATTTTATTAGATTTATATATACAGTAAAAATAACATAGTAAAATAACAGTAAAAATAACATAGTAAATACAGTATTTGGAAATTTGATATCTGAGATTACCTAATAACAATGTTAAGAGCAGTATAATGTCTCAAAAATATTGATTAAAATCAAATATTTGATTTCAGTAAAGCTAGATTTTCTCATAAAACTAGATTTTAAAATTTCTTCAATTCTTATTCTTTAATTTTTTTTTTAATTAAAAGTTAAAAATTATTATAGCACTTTATATAATTTTCTGTTTTATTTTCAGTTGCTCTGGGGTTCCTTTTTTTCTAATTCATAAATATTAGACAACAAAGAGTAAAAAATGTTTTCAGTAATAAATTAATGTAAAGAATTTGAGACTTTTATACAATTTTTGAGAATTAAGAAAATCAACTCTTAAAATGGATTGATTTTCTTAATTACAGATTTATTTTATATTTGTAATTAAGTACAAAAGAAATGTTTCCTTTACTGGATCATTTTATAAATAGGTTTCTCTCATTTGTTTTTCTAAGATTAGTGAAGGCAATAGTAAGATTAATAAGACCAGTGAGCTATGATGAAAGTACAGTAGAGCATCGATTATCCGACCCCCGATCAACCGTCACATCAGTTAACCGACCGCGTTCTAGTCGGCAAATTCAAATGTCCACTAGTGATGTGGCGCTACAATATTTGGCTGTCTTGGCTACTTTAATATTATTTTTACATGTTTTAGCTGGCAACACTGGCTCAACTATGAAAGGGAGCCAGTATTTAAACGAGGCTTAATTTTCTAATTTTTAACGATACAATAGCGACAATTATTATTTTTAAAAATTTTTGTTAGGCTTAACATCGATGAAAATTCAACGCAAA